CGAACAGGAGCATCAGTGATCACGGACTTCAGTGCATCTGGGATCACGACGCTGTCAAAGTCCTCAGTGTCACCTTGCTGCCGAACTGGAGGATTGTCAGTCTCCTCCTGCTCGACATCCTGAAGAAGTTTAGCTATAGCAGCTATGGAGTCCCCCCGACCAAGAGCAAGTTTTACTCGAAGACACCATCCCTGCGTGATGTGCTTAGTCAGCGTCTGCCATGATTTCATGCGTTGATGACAGAAACGACATTGTGGGAGTCCATACATGCTGTGTTTGGCCCTCTGGAAATCCATGCTGGCAGCCTGCTCCATCTCGGGATGTGCTTGATGAAAGTGTTGATGCAAACCTGCCGCATTGCCAAAAGTCTGCCCACAAACTGTGCATGCGATTTGCCGAACCTCTGCTTCTGGAAGCTGCGTCAACACGTTGCTCATGCCTCGATCCGTTACGATTTGAAGCTGTCTGGCTATCTGTGAAGCTCGATCTTCTTCGTACCAACGCAACTCCGGTGCCCGTTTTGAATCCATCTTCAGGGTCCGCGCCTGCTGTTCCAGCCGCGTTTGAAGATGAGGTAGAAGAGGAAGATCAGCCTGAGCAAGCACAGCTTCATTGGAGTGCCCTTTGGTGTAGATCCTGAGCAACTTGCGTAACTGGGCTGCCGCCGTGGACTGCAGTAATCGACACGAGGAAGCAGTGAGGCCTACCGCCACAATCCCGTAGAGCAAAGTAGACCACACACACATGCGGTATATGCTCAGTCGGCGTGCCTGACTGAGTCCACCGTTGGTGCGTAGCACGGACCGTAGCTGTGCAAAGGTAGTTCGAGCCTGCTTGGCGCGAAACTCCGCTGTTTGCATTTCGAAACTTCCATAACTCAGCACTGCCCCAAGATAAAGTAGTTGAGCCTGGATCGGAATGTAAATGTCATTCTCGTCCATGCGCAGCCTCAGACACTTGTTCCCATTCCACCAGCAGGTATGTTTTCGAAGAGCCCGATACGCATGCTTGCCTTTCACTGAGATCACTGCAACAGACTTCTGAAAATTGATCTGCATTCCCAATTGTTGAATAAGGATTACAGTGTTCTTTAGTTGCTTCATAGCTTCCTCAAGATCTTGTGGGCTATTAAGCTCCCAGTAGTAGTGCTTGTCATCAGCGAATATGGAGGAGTGTTCCTGAACCCATTTCTCCCCGTTGATCTCGTTGAGTAGCCGGCATAAGCGAATCGTCCAGCATGCATAGATGGTTGGCGCCACGCCACATCCTTGTCTGAGACCTCGCTGCATTGTGGTTTCCCCGCGTTTCCCATTGTGAACAATCTTCAGCTTAGACTGGACGTGAATCTGCATGAGAACGCGGCTGAACTCCTCAGGCATTCCCGTTTCCTGCATCGACGCGTACATTTCTGAATATCGAAGCTTGTCGAAAGCCTTGGAAAGATCAAGACTTACCATTAAGCCCCCAATCAACTGAACCTGGGTTTGATTGAGGATCTTGGCCGTGTGATCGTCCAACACCCCTGAAAGAGCAGCTCTGATTTCCATGCAGTGTCTAGATCCGCGAAGAAGGGGGTCGCTCGTGGAAGCAAGTGCACGGTACGCATACTGCGGAACTGAGTCTAAGGCCGCTTGAATCCATGGAACTGCTCTTGATTTCAAAATCAGCAGAAAGGCCTTGGAGTCCGCACCCATCAGCCCTATCGTCCTGAGCTGCCCTGGCCCTGTAGGAGCCCTGCCTGGTTTCGGTAGCCACGATAATTGGACAGTTGCCCATCCATCCGGAAGCTGCACGTTCTCTCCAGACAACGCATTCACGGCTATCTTGGATAGTGGAGTGGCCAACTGCTCAGAGTGTCTCTTCCAACTAAGGATTTGGGCATCATGGTGAGGAACAGCTTTATGAGCCTTAATTTTGGAAAGCGCCCATGCCCAGTGTTCTTCAGCAAACCATTCAGGATCAAGTGGCAGCAACTTTGGCATGACAAACGGCTCATCCGCAAATAGATTACGCGCATAATCCACAAGAGCAGCACATTCTTGTTCGGATGATAACAGTCCGCCCGTGTCAGATCTCAAACAGATTTTGCGACGGTAACTTTTGGGAGCAAGCTGCCGGATCAACTGAAATTGCAACCGAATGTCTCCCTCTGCATAGGCCTGCTGCACTCTCTCCAGGGTTTGTATCAGCTGTTGCCGTTTGCGCTGCCTTGCAAGTCTTCGCAGGTTTCTGCGCGCATCGCGCGCTGCAGTGTCAAGTGCATGCCTGTCAATGCTCGCAAGGGTGTCACGCTCCTGTTCACTCTGATGTGAAGGTTGCTTCTTCTCTAGAGATTTCATATTTCTCCAAATGGCAAGAACTTCTTGATCCACATTGCGCAAGTGCGTTCGTGGTGGTTGTTGTTCAGGGATATCCAGCTGTTGTTTGACCGCAAGCTGTAGTTGCATCAAGTCTGGCCGATTCGAGGCTACTATGGTCGAGAGCTCTGGAGCTTTAGCCGATCTGACCTCTCGGCTCGATGCTAGCTTTTGCCATGGCTTCCAGTTGAGCTTAATGTCAGCCACAAGAGGAAAATGTCCAGCAGATCGCCAAGCTGCAATGGGTGAGGGCACCGTGGAGCAACTGCGAGAAATCTGATCAGCCAGCTGCTTTCGCACAATCACATAGTCGATTTGAGACTTCCCATTGGGGTGATGGTATGTGCGACATGGCTTAGTCCACGTGTTAAGAGCAACCAACCTATGCTTCTTAAGCATGGACATCACATCATCACGCTCCTGAACAATCCAAGAGACTTGTGAGCCATTCAGAATGCCATGCCCAGCAGTCTCCGCCAAAGGGGCAAGCGTGGTATTCAGGTCCCCCATGATCAGAATGGAGCTTCTGAAAGGCAAACCTGATAGGAGCGTATCCATACTGTTCCACAGTTTCTTGCGCTCCTTCATCAAGTCAGCTTGTTTATCCCCACTCACAAAGCTCAGCGCCGTTTGATACACCGCGGAGATATCAAACTGCTGTTTCCCAATGGTTCCGCGCCAATGTAACAATCTGCCCGGAATCAGCTCTCTCCACTTGATGGAATCCAGATCAACACAACACTTTTTCACACCAATCATGACCCCACCTCCGCGCGAGCCAGTCTTGGCACTGTGCGTAATGTGCCAATCCCCCGAGATATAAGCATTGCTGAAAGACCAATGCGTTTCCACCAGAACATAGACCTTGATGTCGTCCTGCTGTCTTAGCCAGGTTTCCCACTCAAGCTTTAGCTCCTCGGAGAGGCCACCGCAGTTCCAGTGTATGCAGCGAATGCGCTCTGGTCCTTGGAGGCGTCGTTTCTCCTGTGCTCCCGACTGAGTACAGTCAATGGGATGATTCCACACCTTGATTTGCCTTCCTTGATATGTGGCCTTGCCCTGTTGAGCAGCACGTTTCAGAGCCCTGCGCAACGATCTTTTCTTGATCCTGTCAGTGGCTCCACGAAAAAGAATATGTCTTCCTTCCCCATCATTTGCCACCGAGGTGGCTTCAGCCGAGCCTGGGGGAGCATCGGTAACCCTCACGCCCACCGGTTCGTAAGATACTGCTATATGTGCATTCGCCAGCGGTGCTCGGACTTGGGACCGAGACGAGCTACTGCCCGCAGTAAAAGCTTCGCGTAGTGACATCTGTACTGGGGCATCGCTGGTAGTAGCGGGCCGAGTGGATAGCAGATTAGCATCCATGTTTTGCATTGTCTCGCAGAACACAGAAAAGGACTGCTGCAGACTCTCGCGGATATTGTCGCACACAAAAGAGCAATAGCTTCTCGAAGCTGACAGGAGGCAGAAATTCCTGAGTTGTTTGAAGCAGTTCCAGCAGGGTCTGATCACGCAACAGCGCAGTTGCCAATTCAGATGCCCAGCGTGCCTGTCCTGCAAAATGCAGTTCCAATATGCACGCGACTTCCTCCAGAATCCAGCTTCGGATGTGTGCTACGCAGTCAAGAGCCATGTTCCTAATCGGCCCGTCATTCTTGAACCGCTCGTGGCTCTTTACTACTACTACTACTACTACTACTACTACTACTACTACTACTACTACTACTACTACTGCTACTACTACTGCTACTATGACCACCACGCTACCCACTACCGAATACCTACTACGTACTACCTACTACCTACTAAATAGTACATACTAGGGCGGGTTTAAGAGAATAGACCTTGATGTAACCGCTATCGCCCAATGAAAAGGCGACTCTAAGATACGGGATCAAGCGCCATCGCCAAAGAAGGAGGCGGCTTTAAGATATGGAAAGATAATGTGGCAGCGACAGCTTCCCTGCCACTGAGATCTGCCGCCGTCGCTTAGTGACGGGGCGGGCTCAAGATATGGAATCCCCACCATTGCCTACTGACAAGGCATCGCCTGCTGACAGGACCGGGGTTCAAGATGTAAGATCAAGGTTGGGTTTAAGATATGGGGCATAGCAGGACAGGCCCTGTGCCACGGGGCGAGCTTCATATGTGGGATCAACGGCACCCGCTTAGTGACCTACTACTGGGGTCGGGTTCAAGACAGGAGATCAAGCGCCACCACCGTGTAGCGAGAAGTCCAGTGAAAGGTATGCTTCAAGCATTCATATCATTTTACTACTACTTTTATTGCGACCCACCCCCCTCCCCCCCCTCCAAGAAAGCTGACCCCTCTTCCTGAGTAATGCCGGACGAGTCCACCCGCCTTTCCTAGAGTCACCTCAGTCTTGGACGAGCCCCCTCCCCGAGGCAGCCCCGCACCTCAGCAGTCCCGGACTGGTCACCCCCCCCCTTCACCCCGCGAACGGCGCTATCCTATCGCACGAAGCCCGGTATCAGTCCAACTTAAACCTTTTCCAGGCGCAGATGCCTTCAAGCACTGAAACAAACAGGACGAATGTTGCAGCTCTCAACGGCCCAAAAACAGCAAAGACACTTCATGCAGCATCAGGGAAGCTCCGCTCTTTGTCTTGCGGATCAAGCCTGAGCATTCTTGGTGCCGGGACCAGGGTGTAGGGCTTGAAGTCCAAGCCTCGGAGACGCGCGAGGCGGCACGAGGATGGCCTTACAACAACAGCTCTAGGCTCGATCCCAGGAGCGGAAAGCCATGTACTGCTGGTCTATCGTCTGAAATAGCGGCTGCACATGCAGGGCCGATGCCAGATGTAGCATAGTTTCTTCGTGATCAAAAGTTGCCACTGGCAGAGAATCAAACGGCACGCCCGCTTCGTACACAAAGTCCAGAGCCCACTGGCTTCCCGATTCGACCTGAAACTCTGGATTCTGAACCTGAATCTTGAAGGCATACATGCTGTTGTCCGCAAAAGCAGGAACTTGCGCACCCACAGGTGCTGCGGCTTGCAACACCAATGGATTTGGCACCGAAATCCGCGCACTGCTGAGAATTCCCAGGCACGCCGCGGGTTCCAAGTTCTCTGGCCAAGGTTCAATGATGCCTGGACACCACATCTGCGTTGGGAATTGGGCTGCGCTGCAAGGAAACTGTCGAGAGCCCAGGCTTGGACTGAGGGCCACAAGGTTCGGAAAGCAATCCTCTTCGAAGCTGAAGCCCGCGGGCCCGCGCAGCGCGATGTAGAGGTAAGGGACGCTCTCCGGAACTTCCGGATGCTCTTGGACCTGACCGGTTCAAGCTGCCTTCAGCTGCCCATGCTGCCCAGCCCCTGCCTTGAAGAAGAAGGTGAGCAAGTTGAGACGCAGTGGACCATCGTCACGCCCATAGCCTGGAGCCTGTCATGGTGAGATCGGCGGAACGAAAAAGGAAGAGCGTGTCATGCACACCTCATACACCGGCGGCTGAAGCAATCCAGAATCCAGCAGCGGCGCCAGGATGCGTGGAACCTGTTGCTTGCTGGCAAGGTCAGCATGCGTTCGCGGGTGGCGCAAGATTGTGTCTAACCTAGTTCTGTGCATGTCGACATGAAGGAGAGTTGATGGGCTCCAGTTTCACATCGTCCTACTGCACACAGCACAGTACAAGATATGGCTGGTAGCACGAACCATCACATCTGTTTTCCGAGCGCGGCATTTTCTGAAACACCCTGCACATGAATGCTGCTCACAACGTCCGGCAAAAGACTTGACATCCACATGGAGCTACCCTGACATTCATTTCATGTTACACTCATGCTGCCATCTGTGCCCACAGTTCGAGGCTGCGTGGGTGACGTCTGATGTTTGAGGACGAAGTCCGCAGCACGTGCCGAACTCCCAACAGATAAAATTGACGGCACCCTGCATGCAAGTTACTGTCAGAAGCCCCTAATAATGGACAGATCGGGTTTATAAGGTACCTTCTCACAGTGATTCCAACTAAAGCACGGCAAGTACACAGAGGGTTTTTTACCCTATTTTTGAACCGGGCCACTACTTGCTAGTGCAGACAAGCACCATCTGCATGGCTGAGCCTCTCGCTGCGTACCCAACTTATCTTTGCTGCAGCCGAGCTTCCGGAATGTCCTTTCCCAGATCCAACACTTTGTGCTTGGGGTACATGTGCCTTCGCTCTTGACTGCAACCACGCTGTAGAACCCCTCATGGTATTGGACCAGCACAGCTTTAGGCAACTTGAGCAGGGATGCAGATCCGCATATGTTCCAAAATTCCAGGTCCCCCCCTGGCTTGTGGGCTGCAAAGGATTGCGACTTCGACGGAAGCGGAACACACGCATGCCTGGCAAGGACGAAAACTGCAAGACTAAAGGCTGAAATCGTACACTAGGAAAGCATGCACCTGCCGGTGAAGTACCACGAACGACATAGAGAAGAATCTCGGGCCTGGTCACTCTAACTCCACAAGAGACAGGCGTTGTTGCAAGAACACAGAAGATCAAATCCAAAACAAAACTGAAAAAACTACATCAGTCGAAATAAAATGACTGCTCTGTGTTCCCAGGGGCAACGCTGTGACAATGTTCTCCGTCACTGAACAAAGGCCATTCGTAGCATCCAGAACAGGCCCAATCAGGATCTCTGGCCAGCAGCGAAGCAAAGTTCCTCTCGTTCGTTCATCACCAGCGAACAGGAAGCCCGAATTCACCTCGGCACTGGATGTGCAGTGTACTTCGGAGAACGATGCAGGCACAGACTTTTAAGCAGCAAGTTAATTAGTATATATCTGCGAAGGAGCCTCAAGCGGAGATGCAATATGAACATGAAACTCGACGATATTGTCCGCATATCCTGCAAGATTGCAGAGAGAGTCCACCCGCGCCTGGGAAACTACACGCAGCGGTGGAGGCAGAAGCATGCTTGCTTGCATTCGATCCAAGTTGAAGTCACCAGGGTCGAAACCCATCTCCAAGTAAAAGGCGTTCAAAGACCGAGTGGGAGGTCTTTCAGGAACTCGCACGCGCACTTGGAAACCGTAGAGGTGCCCGAGACGCATGACAAGGTCAGGCAGTATCAGCTCGTTAAATAGCCGGACTTGGGGAGTCACTATGAGTTCACAGAACTCGCATGTGACATTGGGTACATATCCTCGCCAACCTTCTGTGACATGGGGAACCCAGACGTAGCCAACTGGTGCGAGCATACGAACGTTAATGAGCTGACCGTCACTGCTTGGAGTGAGAGGATACACTGTCATCAAGGTACTCATGTCGAAAACAGACGTAGGAAGCAGAAGGCTTTGCCCAAAATCCAATGACAATGGCAATCGCATTGGGTCTTGGTATACGCCCCAGCTCTTGTCCCAGTAGGACTGTGGCAGTGTGTCAATACGAGCAGAATTAAACTGTATTGTGTATTTTGAGCCGTCAACCATGTAGCCTTCTGGGCTCTGAACCCAGATTCGCCAGTCATCATGGTGCGACGCATCCCACTGGACTGAGTTAATGACTCGGACCTTGAAGGCATAGTACTTGTTCGAAATCAGCGTACGGCCAACCCTCAGGATCGCCCTGGTGAAGTTTGCAGTAGCCGGAGGCGACAACACACTCCGCTTCCAGTTGTCAGTGGTGCAGTTCACATCAAGTCCGAGAGAGCTTGTCAACGCTCGAGGCCCTAAGACGGTCTCGCCCCACGGCAGTCCGTCCCAGTCGGCATAATAAGCATCTTCCAGTGGGCCAACACTACAGTTGTCTGTAAAGTCGAATCCATCCGGTGCGTCCAGAAGAACGTGGGAAAACCTTGGCATCGCATGGATCACCTGCAGCGCACTAGCACACGCCGCTTCCCGTACTTTCACGTTCAGTCTGTCCGTGCCTGGAAGAACACGCTGAGTTCGTTTGTTGCTCCAGCAGAAAGGTTGGATGGCTGCAGCGACTCGCCTTCAAGAGGAGTAAGAACGGCCAGATTGCCTGCAGCGAAACAATTGTAACGCTGGGAAGGACCCTTTTGGGTGGCTGAGTCTGCAAAGGGGCCAGATGTGCATGACTGCTTCTGGATGCTTACCAAAGTTGCCAACCCAGCCCGGCAACGTCACTTCCTCCCGATTTCAGATCAGGCAAACTGCAAAAAGGATCTACATCGCACCATATCACACCCTTTGCATTGCCAGTATTTACAGTATTTAATCAGTATTTGCTGCAGTTCACTCGGAATGTTTGGCGGATCTATGTCGTTGAACCAACCCTAGGTCCCTAGGCAGAGAATGGCTTTCAAACACGGCCCAGAGAAGTCGACTTTAGAAACCATTTCACGTTTGTTCACAGAAATCGAAAGCCATTGGATCCAGGAACTGATGGCAATCTGGTACCCGGGACAGGCTCCCGAAGCAATTTCGTTAGCCTCATGAAAGCCACGATGCAAGCCTGAACCCAACTCTCGGTGGCTGCAACTCTGAGCTCCTCAGCCAGGGATATGAAGTTGACCAAACCGCCGAGCAGCGTCGCGTTGGCACCAGAGAGCTTTATTTGCCACACATTTGTCGGGTCGGTGCGCATCAGCGCCTGGTGCGTGGAGCTCAGGAGATCAGCAGCGCTAGCCGCTAGCTGCAGAATGTGCTGTGACAATGCCAACTTCAAGACTGGAAAGCGAGGAGCCCCAAGCACACCTACATGCTCGATCTTGAGAGCATGTCTAGCAGCCAGTTGGACATAAACAGCACGAAGCCGAGCAAGCAAATGTCCAATAGAAACTATCTTCTGTTAACTCTGAAAGCAAGGTCAATGACTTGGCCGGGCTACGTGTACACTACATCTACGCCTGTTGCAACATACGGATGTTCGACTCTTAACATCGCCTGCCGAGGATTGTTCACAGACAGCCGCACGTAGAAAATCTGTCTCGCGAAGACGGCCGCCCACTTCTCCAAGGTGAAGGAACAAATTGGCCCTTCGTCTGACCAGGTTCCGCTGAGTACTGTTCCCATCGGATTGTCCACCTTGACTCTGCCGTGTACAATGTCTAGCGGGGTTGGGGGGGTTGAGGTTTCCCAGACAGAAGGAATCCAGGCGGGCCGTGATCTAATCCGAAACTGACCTCTCCGCAAGACAAAGACCTACGTAAATTGCCAGGACAAGGAATAGAACCACAGTAACAGCCAGAAAACCATAAATAGGCATCGGTCCTCTCCTATTCCCGCGCCCGTGTGCCCTAGTGGGGCCCTTAGCCTTCGATCGCTGAGGCTCAAATCCCAGACCCTGAAGCGAACCGGAATTCCCAAATGAGGGGCGTGGAAGATATATGATGAACCGGAACCTGTATGCATGTAGCATGTTTAACTACATATCTATGTTCCGTGGGCCCTCCATCTTGGATCCTTGGATCATTGATGTACGTATATAATATGTATGTGCATACGTATGTATGTATGTACGTGAGTGAGTATGTGTGTAAGCCCGCTTCCTGCTGCCCTAGTGCCCCTTTGCACGTCTATATCTACATGTCTAAGTACATAATTATCTATGTTCCGTGGGCCCTCCCCTTGGATCCTTGGATTATCGATGTGTGTGCATACATATGTATGTACATATGTAATGTATGTATGTGGCTGTTGATCTAAATTGGTTCATCCCGGAATGACCTTCTTCACGGATGAAAAAGAACTTTCGCGCCACCGCCGCGGAACTTTCGCGGAGGCATATTTACATACCTTTACAAGCTAGAACCCGGAGTCCTTTGAGGATTCTGTTAAGGGTTCCTTTGGGTGTTCTTTTTAGGCTTGCTGTGAGGGTGGGCTTAAAGGGTTCTTGGCAGGGTTCTTTAATGATTCGGAGGCTTCATCAAAAACCCCAAAGACGGCCTGAAGCAGCTCAACAGAAGCCCTGAAACTCTCAATCAATTATGCCAACAATGTCCATCGGGGGGTGGCCTTGGTCTGGCTTCGTCGACTTTAACGAAACTTACGCGGAACTTACGCGCTGAATCCTGTACAGGAACCTAATTTTGAAGTTTGTCGATGCTGAAACACTAGCACCAAAAGAAGCAACAGTACTAGCATTGGCGGTAGGGCTGGTGGAACTGGGACTGCAACACCAACAATGCCACCAAGTTATTGCATTGTTAAACTGGAGATAATGCTAGTCCGACTCTTACTCTCGCGCCCAAACCGGCTACTTGCACTGGGAGACCAGGATGAGGACGAGGACTAGGCGAGGGCTAGGACTAGGGCTACTGCTACTACCACTACGAACAACAACTACAACTACTACGACGACGACTACGACCACGACGACTACTTCGACTAAGTTACTACTGGTTACGACTACCACTACCACTACAACTGCTACTGCTACTGCTACTTGCTACTTGCTACTTGCTACTTGCTACTTGCTACTTGCTACTTGCTACTTGCTACTTGCTACTTGCTACTTGCTACTTGCTACTTGCTACTGGCTACTTGCTACTTGCTACTTGCTACTTGCTACTTGCTACTTGCTACTTGCTACTGCTTGCTGCTACTGCTTACTGCGAACTGCTTACTGCTTACTGCTTACTGCTCCTGCTGCTGCTACTGCTACTGCTACTGCGACTGCGACTGCGACTGCTACTGCTACTGCTGCTGCTACTGCGACTGCGACTGCGACTGCGACTGCGACTGCGACTGCGACTGCTACTGCTACTGCTACTACTACTCCTACTACCACCACTACCACTACTACTACTACTACTACTACTACTACTACTACTACTGCTACTACTACTACTACTACTACGACAGCTACCACTGCCACCTATTATTATTATTATTACTACTACTACTACTACGACAGCTACCACTGCCACCTATTATTACTACTACTGCTACTACTGCTACTACTGCTACTACTGCTACTACTGCTACCACTACTACTTCTTCTACTATTACTACTACTACTACTACTACTACTACTACTACTACTACTACTACTACTACTACTACTACTACTACTACTACTACAAACTGCTACTACGCCGGCACACCCAACGCTTGTCGTTTGCCCACGCCACCTGTGCCACAGCAACCTCGTAAGCTCCAAATGCTTGATACTTGTAGCTGTCATCTTGCCCGAGTATCTCCAACCAGGTTCATGATGCATGTTTCCTGACTCCTGACAAACCCGCATGGTTCCTGAATCCAGGCTTGCAGCGCCCCACTACGACTTGCTGCAAGCCTGGAGCCTTTTCACATTATGGCCCCAAGGATCTCGAGGCCGCCGATTTTTGGTCCTGCAAATCATAAGTTGCGTAAGTTCTGCATAAACACTTGAAGACCTTTGTGTTTTCGAATTTCCGCCATTCCAAGGGGAGTTTAGCAGTATCGCGAAATTCGAACTTGTGTTCTGGGGTGCAGGCCTTCTGCCACAGTCCTTTGCACCATGTGCTAGGGTTTGTCTTGGCGAGGCTGGAGGGCATGTACCGGGCACTCCCGCCACAGCGTGGTGCGTGCTTTTGGGGTACCACTCTGGCCCTGCCGCCGTGCGCAATTGACCCTCACTGGGTGGTAAGGCTTCGACTGTTACCTTTTCGGGTGATCACCTGTAGGTCCCGCCACCCGAAATCCACAAGCAGCTAAACGAACCAGAAACACCCCAGCCCGTTGTAACATCTGCACAAGACTGGCAGGAAGGGGAAACACCGTCTGCAACGGCAAGGAGTCTTCTACTACGTCCTTCGAGAACAGGGTTTGCTATGTTTGTTCGCATGTTTTCAACGTCCCTGTACGACATTCCCATGGAGAGGAGGCGCATACCCATCGTCATTCAAATCACGGAGAAACATGTCCAATGTCCCGTCTGGATCGGCCGTGCCATTTCCAATCACGCTGCAGGTATAATCTGGAGGCAGAAGGATCTGCACCATAGGTCGAGGAACTGTCCGGACCGAGGATCCCTCGGTCAAATTATCCTCATCGAGCTCGGGCTCCGTGTCCAGTGGCTCATCCTCTGCAGGGCTTCGCAGCGTGACTCCGATCATCAGCCGGACAATAAGCACATTCTGTCGCTCAAAAGCAAAAGGACGGGGACCGTTTCCGGTTTGACCGTCTACGACAATACGTCCAGTCGTAGTGCCAGAAACCGGGATTCTTCGCATCTGAGGGGACACAAATGCTGAGGAGGGGTTCAGTCCATTGCTGTCCAGGTATTCTGCCAACATCTGCAGCGTGAAGAAGCCATCTCTTGGAAGTCTCAGCTCCGAGACGTTCAACAGGTGAGCCTCGTCTCCACGCGCTTCCGGTATGGCTTCCATCTGAGCGGGATACTCCAGCGTGAGAGTGTTCCTTTGCATGGGGACGACGTTCTCAAAGGGTGTCCTCACAATCGGCCTCACCTGACAATCCGCAGATTCACCTCACGGACGAGTCAAGAGCATGCACACTCTGAGATGTGAAACGACGAGGCGGACTGCAAGCCCAAGGCTGTGACGACCCCGACCATCGCTGCACGAAATGCCAGCGATTGGTACACAGTTTGCCTGACCTTAGCATCTGAGACTTCATTCTCACACTCCGCACAAGGTTGATGTGATCCATAGTGCCTGATTGCTGAAGAATGTGATCCAGCCAAGCTGCAGAATGCTATTCCTGAAAGATCCCAAAGCGTAAATGGACGAAAGAAAAGGTGCAACTGCCCGGAGCGCTCGATAGGCCACGCCGGATCCTTTGGCCAAGCACGGATACCAAATTGCATGAGCTCCTGCGCAGCAAGGACTTTCACTGTCACTAACTTCAACCACACATGATACATGGGAACATGTGCATGGCTCACTTTCCATGAAAGACGTCCTCAACAACTCCACCGTCCTCCACAGTGAGTGTAGGCTGAAGCTCAAGCACCTCCGCAACTTCTCCGGGTTCATGGGACTTTAGGTTGGTGCGGTGTGGGTTGACACAAGACATCTGCGGAGTTGGAAAACACTGTTGAAACCGCTGTAGAATCGCAAATCGCAAGCCTCTTCCGCAGCCTCCTTGCTCAGGGCCCGAAGTCCGAGTGAGCTGAGCAATCCTCAGTCTCAAATCCCCTGCGCTGTCCAACTTCCCCGATCAATCATGTGTTGTGGGTTTTGGATTCGGCTCGTAAGCGACTGCGACATCCATGCGAAGGCGGGCTTTGGAATGATCTGGTGCAACTGCTTTAGATTTGGAGCCTTTGCGTGCCTTGCAGCTTGGAAAGTTGCTTGGAAGGTTGCAGAGTGCAGCTGCAAGGAGGGAAGAGCAAAATCTCTGCAAACTGCCTACAAAACCCTGGACTGCCAAGGCTTCTTCCAATTACTTCTGCGTCAGTAGACGCCTTGCTCTGTTCTCTGGAACTTTCTACTTCCCAGCCAAGGTGCGTGCTTGAGGCCATGGCAGCATCTCAACACGGTCCAGCTGCGTATGATTTTCCTGTGCCGGGTCGGGCCATGACTTGACATTCAGGAATCGCCTACTTCACGCGTTACTCCCCAACAGATGCGTCTCCAACTTATTACTCCCACCTCTGGAAGCATTGTTGAAGCGGTCGCATAAGCTGGGCCATATTCTACCACACTGTAGCGCGGGCCACAAACCTCAAAATATGCAATGCTTACGAATGTTTCAAAACCTACTTGCGGATCTTCTTGAATCGTAGCAGCCGTTGCCGATCCAGACTTGCCGGCGCATTGTGTGTAGATGCCAATTACCTCCCTGGGATTCACCATGCCAATTTCGCCGACACGGGCATTGAATGCCAACCTTGGACAAGGTTGGGATTTCTTGCCTGCCAATGGCTGAGGAGTCCAGAGCCCAGCCGTTCCATGTCAACATAAACTAACCTCCATAACCTATAACGCGCAAAGCCCTTTAGGTTTTGGTCGCTTTCGCAGTGTGTTTAAGCGTCTTGCGCTCGACAATCTTAGCGCTGTTAACTAGTTTGGATCCTCAATCCGCCTTGAACTCTGGATTTGATGTTGTGAGTATCAAGTGACTGGTACACACAGGGGGTTGACCTCGTCCCGAACTGGTCGTTGATGGTGCAAACATCTTTCAGCCCGGCCTGTCAAGGACCCCGGACGCTTTCCATGCAAACGGGTCCGACCGGTCCGGCCATGCCGCTATATGCCGTCATGCCCGACCTTCGGCTCAAAGATGATGAAATACTCACGGTACGAAGGCCGCGCAGGCTCATTGGCTACCACATCGGTGTAGAGCGGTCCGTAGTAGCATCCACGGGGAAGCGGAAAGCCTCGACACAGCGCCGAAACCCTGCCTGCTTTGCCCGGCTCGCTGCTCTTTACTCACGACTCGCACACACCTTTTGCCAAGAAAACCAACGATGCACACTCACACAAGCAAGATCTGCCTGAGTCGTCGTTCGTCCACATTTCCGTAAAGAGCTGTCCACAGATGGCTTGGGTGGCGTTCCTTTCCAATGCGAACAATCAATGGCAATCCAACGCAATCACTCTGGAGGTGGCTGCCTGAAGCCAGATTGGGCAAACTATGAAGCGGTTCCACATAAAGAAGAAGGCTGGAACGAGGAGGGGATGCCAAGAACATGAGCACGTAAGTCGGGAGGGAGTATCAGGCGAGCAGGTGCCCTTCCAAGGGCGACGGAAAATACCAAAACAACATGCATGCCTGCGGTGTTTTGGCACTGCTCAGTCCAAAGCCAGAGCAAGCCAACTTTCACGGAGATTGGCAACGCCATCAACCTTTTTCATTGGGTGTTGAGCCTTCGGGAGGACCATTGGACATCTGCGGACGGACGGTCTGGAAAGCTTTCGTCAGGGCCTCACTCTCAAGATCGTTTTCGGCGACTCAAGCATGCTATGCCGAATCTCGGACGATCACGGATGTCGCTTACGCTTGACCGAATCCTTGGTAATTTTCTTCATTCGGTCCTACCGCTGCATGTATACAACGCAAATGTTGCTTGTGTTCCACGAAATAAGGTTTTCGCAGATCAACACCAACTGGGATCTCGTCAAGGCTGAAACGATCCGCCCAGGCATTTCGCGCTCCAGCAATGTGCGCCTGGAAAACAAAACACCAGCAAAACACAAACGCTCCTTTTGTTTGACTCATCGGCTTTACTGAAGCAGCAGTTACCCCAGCATCGCAAAGCTGACGAAACTGCATTGTCACTGTAAAAGACACCAATTGAGCATGCTTGCGATGCAGCACAAGAGAATCAATTGCGCAACCGCTTCCAATGCCGCAATACAAGCTTGAAGCGAAGAATTGCCATTCGCGCGAAACCAGGAAGGAAAGAACTTCCTCGGCAGCTGAAGGCTGAACCAATGAATCTTTGCCGCATCCACTTCAGTGCCGTCGGTCAACCACCAACCTCCCAATGCTGCCAGCTCGGCCTCCGCCCAGGCATCGGCAGCAGCCAAGCCCGGTGAGTGCGGCGCAATTTGGAGCGGAAATAAACGTGCTGACAGAAATGGCACTGTAGAACAAAATGGCCGCGTTGAGTGACTGCGAACCCACCAGTCAGGTCGAGCAACCGTAGATGTACAGTACGATCCACGACGCATCCGCGGCGAGAAAACAGCGACTGACTGTAAGAAGAAATCAACTCATTGTTGACCGAGTGAAGCTTTCAACCAACGCAAATGTCGCAAGGGAGCAAAGACCACGTAACCCGCAAATCCTGGCACAATACTTGCACTAGCGAAAAGAACTCATCCACATGCAGTAATCTAGTCGCGGCCTGCGGTTTGTCCAACAGCTTGTAAAGGGCTGCCATGCCAGCCACGCACGAAGCCAGAAAGCCCCGCCGCAGAACCATCCAAGAAATCCCGCAACCTTCTCGACCTGCCCGCGTTCCACCTTGTTGCCGTTTGCGAAACAACGGACGCAGCGCTTCGAAAGCCTTGGCCACCTTGTCCGCCGGTAAACTGGCTTGGCACGTATCTGCGTGGAACTTCCAATGCAACCAATCCAAACCAAGCACTGACCAACACGCAGCTTGCCCCAGCTCAAAGGTAAACCAATACCACAAGGAAACATTAGAGATTGAAGCGTCAGTAGGCAGTAGTGCCCCTACAACAGCAGGCAAAAACTCCAGCCCATCGTCCATAAAGAGAAACGTTCCATGCTTCACCCAAATGATGCGATGAAGCATCCTAACCAACCAAGCACAAACTCGGCTGAACCAACCAGTACGCAACCCAGTTGCATCCAAAGTAGCAACTCCGATAACAATACCAGACGCCATCCAGCACAAAACAAGAACAGCCCTGCTGGTCCTCTTTCACACGCACCAACTTGTGCGTGCCCTTCACGTCAAAACTGCAGAGGTGGCAGCACGGCAGCACTGTCAACGGGAGACAAGAAGCGCTGCACGGCGTTCAACGAAGGATTTCGTAGCTTCTCAAGCTGGCCGCGTTGCCACCACCGATGGACCCATCCCCAATAAGTCGGCTGCTTGCGCAGGCACCTGGAATATACGCCACGGCCGACGACAACATCATCCAGGACCAGCTTCTAGCCAAAGCCATATTATCAGAAGCACTGCGCATCACTGCGCCACGGCTCCAGATGCACACGCAGATCCTGCTCCACAGTGACAGGCCGCTGCACACGAGCAACTTCTGCACAATGAAAAGGCTGCAGTGGTGAGTGTACGGCACGGTGCATGCGCAAGCTGACGCTGTACGCAGGCATACTCTGGTCAACACACCGGCGGAGCAGGTTGCCGACTTTTGGCACAGGAGGGCGGAAGACATCAACAAGCGCCCTGAAGGGGCTGAATTCTTAGTGCTTGTTGACTCCAGTCGCGAGATCACCACAAATTGGTGACCTTGCCTTGATCACGCGCCGGCGCCTGTGCCGGAGCCCTATTTCACGAAGTACTTGCCAACGTCGATGGTCTGCTGCCTTCGACTCTGGACCGGGTCCACCAGCACATCAGGCACCTGGTATTCCCCACTTGGTGCATGGCACAGGCTCGACTTCATTATGGTGCCAAGGGCCGGCCTGGCAGGTTGTTGAAGCGATGTCGATGTCCAGCTTATGCGATACGCGAGGATCACCTATACCTGTTATGCTGCGCAGCGCTTTCTGCGAACGCCTTCCTGCTGCCCAGCATAATACCACCAGAAAAAAACGCATTGTTCGGCGCGACTCCGGTAGTGCTGTTGCCGCAAGTGGCGTGTTTTGAGGACTTTGCCAATTGACCAGCATTGCAGCAGCCTCACCGCTGCATCGCTCTAAGCCCACCTTCCTGTTGAACATTTGGCATTGTTCGGACACGACAAGCCTTGTGTCTCGGAAGTCTCAGGAGGCTCGTCTTGATGTCCTTCGCGGCTTGCCTTTTGCATGGGCTTTCACAGTCCAAGCCATCTCCACAGCAGAGTGCCTCCCACGCCGGGCCCACCTTGCGTCTAAGCTGAAGCGACGAGCCACCCGCGACGCCCAAGCCACGTCCGGAGAAATACCATAAAACACGCCGAACACCCAGGCTGCGGAGCCAATCGCGGAGCCATACATGAGGGCAGCCCAACCCGCACAGGTTGGCCGCCGTCCCTCGGTGATGAACGCAGGTCCTTCGCAAAGTGGCAAAGCTTCAATAGCAAGGAGCGACGCCACTTCTTCGCGTCTTGCCATTCTCCCACGAGTTGAGGTTACCAAGAACCTTCCTGCCGAGTTTAGGTGCTAGCATTCTGGAAGTGCCTGTAGACTCCGCCTACTCCGCAAGCACCTTCATGTGCATCTTGCTCGCTCGATCTCACTCGCATGGCCTTCTGAGGCCCGCGAGGCACACCATGCCATCCGAAGCTTGCACCACATGTGTCAAGCACTGTGGCCGATGGCTGCATCAGCCGCCTGAACAACACCTCGAAAGGGCACCCTGTTGCGTTAGGAGATGTTGCGAGCTTCAATCCCCACTTACGAAGTCGCACGGCTCGAAGCGCCGGGGAAATGCGCTCGCAAAATCGTCAAAGCTGTTTCAAGGGCCTCCCGCCACCTGCCATCGCCCTTGTCGTGAATTGTCCCAAATTGCCCAGGACTTTCAGACAACGACGACCTCTTCTTTCCGAACTGCATCGCCACCTTTGTTCCAGACACTGGCATAGTTTCCTGGATAGAAGGGTACCTCGCAACAAGGTCTCAGGAAGGCTTTCGCTCCACAGCTGTTCGCTTTTGGCAGCTGACGTCGCACGCCGCTCCACCAGTATACTGCGAATTCAGCAGGTTTGGACGCGCCTTAATGAGGGGCCTAGAGTTCATTGCAGAACAGAATAGATTGGATGTGACATCTGCATCACCCTCTGACTCATCCTGCTGGACACTTTAACTCGGATGTTCCGATAGCGCAAGCGCTGCACCCTGCAGCTCGGCCTCGCCCGTTCGAAGACCAACACACTGCTAGTGCGACCCCGACACATCCTGACCTGACTTGGACCCTAAACTCGAGCTGGTTCAGTGTAAGTCTCTCCATGGCCACATGAAGCTCTTCCGGCATGGCTTCGAGCTCTTCTGGTTTCTCAATTGCACCCGCGAGCAGCGGCTCCAACATGAAGTCTACCTCTTTGAAAAGAAGCCGGACCTCGGGACGGCTCGCTGCAACTAGTAAGCAAGAAACTCCCAAGAGCCGATTCTGATACTTCCAAGCGGCAACCAGTGGCGTGTGAAAGGCCTTGTAAACTGTGGTTCCAGTTGATGGAGAGAAGGATAGGACCGCCTGACCCACTCCTCCTTGTAATCTCGTTGTGAGATACACTCCTGCATCTGCCATGAAGGTTGGGCTGGAAAACTGCAGGACACCAGCTTCTCCGTAGTACTGTTGGCGGCCCTCATCAAATGCTCCCCAGCAGATCTTCACAGTTGCAGAGAAGTCAACTTTGATCTCTTCCTGGCGAAAGACATATTGAGCAGTCTTGGCCCCTGGCTCTGTCTCGCGTTCAGATGAACTACGAAACTACCGAAGAACGTACAGTGCGCACCACTGATTGAAATCAATGCAATCATTCCATCCCACAATTTGGAGACAATCCCCTCAGCAGTCCTTCGTCTGGAGCCGGTTCCGTCGAGCCCAGCGACCCTTGTTTTGCACGAAAGTGAACTGTGGGATGCTGTCGGTTTCAGTCTCGATCCAGCCGACAGGGATGCTTAGCCTCGGTGGCAGCGACTCAGGTGCAACATGCGTGAACTGCTAACTCCGCTCTGCAATAAACCGTGCAATCAATCGCATCTAGACAGTACGGAGATGTACGGAGTTCTTCAAATGCGGCTCCTGCAAGGACTTTCACAGTATCCGGTGCAACAAACGATGCTGAGATGCTCTGTGAGGTTCTGCGTGTTGAATGCATGTGGGTAGTTCTCTAAACTAGGGCCTTCGGGGGTCCATTTAATCAGAATGCCGTACTATATCGTACGACTTGGGAGCCTGAAAAGGTGGGCCCAAATTGACAGAACTACCCGTGTGTTTGATTGTCTGAAACATGACCATTGTCAGACGAGGTCAGACCCACCAAGCGGTGAGCCGAGCGGACTCGGAGGTACCCGCTTGGAAGCCCGGCTAAGCCGCTAAGCAGCCACCTTCTATAGCCTTGAAAGCCTGCAAAAGCTCAATTCTCAAGTCGAACACAGAAACTTGTTGGTCTCACCCGGGACATAGGACACTCGATTCCAGAGCATGCGCTTGACACTGGGCTCGTCGGCGTAGCCGTAGAATCCGGAAAGCTTTGACACCACGTGTTGCTCAGCAATGTTCCAAGCGGTGTGGTTCTTGTTGTTCATGATAATGGACGACTCATCAATAGTGATCGCATCACCATCTAAGAGCTCGTCCGTTATGTCACCGCTAAAGGTCAGCACGGACTGAGATGCCCCAATTGAGATGTCAGTGATATAAATGCCGGTGCGCTCGGCTGAAATCACATAAACAGAAATGTCCTCCTTCACATCGGGTCTGCGACAACTAGAGCTGTTCTGCCCAGGACATCCCAAACGATAGACATCGACCCCACGCGGATCGTTTGCATTTTCCCTGCAAGTTTGCGTCATGCTGATTAGCCGGATTGAGTCTGTGTCCGAAAATCCCCAGCCTTCCAGATCAAGGCGTACCACGAAATTGGTAGGCAAATCCAGCTGGATGTCCGTCAGAGGACCCCGAAACATCAGACGTGCTGCATTGATGTAGTACATCGGGCTTTGGCACAAGTCTTCGGCATCAAGCATCGCGCAGTAGCATACCAGGAACACACCAGATTTCCAAGCATTGAAGCTCTGGTCGTTCTCGACGCCACTGAATGGCAAGTAGTTCGAGGGCCCCGGTTCGACCCAAGCGAGAAACTCTCTCGCGAGATCGGCCGAGCCTTGGGGCACACAGTCGTGACGAATTGAACGTACCGCTACGATCTGTGACTATGGCAAGGCCTATGATGCATATGACATCTTACAAACTGCCTTTGCCTATCACTTGCCTGTGCCATGCAACTTGGCCCATTGTAGTACTCAGCATTGAAAGTGCCATTGACGCAAGCCTCATTCAACGCTTGGCGGCTCTCCTCGCGAGACGCAGATTCAACGGCACGTCTTGTGTCTTTCCATGCCACCCCTGCTTCGTTCAGGTAAATGAGATGCCTTGTTGGTGCCTGGAGCATTGCCCCACGTTGGTTTGCACAATGGGTCAAGCTGTTGGAAGCCCGTCCAGAAGCGCTTCCGGCATTCGAGGTGTCGCCAGAAGGTTCAGGATTGGTTTTTGTTTTGACTTCCGTCTGACAGGCGGACGCACTGAGCTTCTGGAGCTTCGTGCTTCAAAAACGGAGCTTCTGGAAACACAGCTGGCTCGCCATGCTTTTGGAACAGCTGTCTCGACATCGCATCTTGGAGCATTATTTGGACTGGTTCGCCTTGAGCAATACGTGCCAAACCGGCAGGGGCTGTGCCATGCCAGCTGCGATAGCTGCTATGCGGTTTGGAAACTCAAAGGAGCTCGAAGGCCGTGCATGCACGGACAGCAAGCGATTAATATCCTCTGTTCGGTTTGGGAGAATGTGCCTTATAATTCCATCAGCTGCCTCATTGATTGACCTGGCGATGATTCGTTGTGGTTGTATCAGTCCAAGAACTTCAGACGCAGAGCATGCGGTTACCTCCGGACATGCTTTGCTCCTTGCACGAATGCAACGGTCCAAAACACCAGACTCTCACACAACGTAGCAGAAAGCCTTGAACATTTCTATTCAAGCTCAAGCCCCGAAACCAAAACAAGCCAAGACTTGAGCGGAATGCCACAAATTCCACAGCAAGTCCAAACGACCGCCAACCCTGAAGCACCCAACTTCTACGTTTCTCAAGGTAAACCCTCATTCCTCCACTTCTTTTCGCGAGAAACCCTAGCCCTAGCGGCCTCGGAATCAGTACGGTCGAGGCCCAAAGAGCGCTCCAGCGTGACCTGCGACAAGCAGCCCGGCATAGCCCAGCAGCCCCAACCGGCGCCGAGCCACCGAGTTGGTTGTAGCTTGGTGCACTACGCAGCCTGCGCGCCTGCGCCCCGCTCGAGTCCAAGTACGCAGCCCAGTTGTCGAAAGGGACGAGTTTCAGGGTCGTCTTCTTTCGCCATGGTATACTATCATACGGATGCATGCCATCGGCAAAATCTGATTGAATGCCGCCATAAAGCGTCAGCGCTCCTGGCTTCGTCACCTCACATCCCGTTTGCAAATGGATGCGCGCAAACGTGTACATGCAACCATGCATCTATACACGCCAGAAACGAGGGCTGCAGGACACACGATTGAACACGTCACTCGACATGACAGAGAAGAGCTAACTGCACAGACTTTCACACCGACTATGTTGCTGCAAAGTATTATCTCATGATTCCTACTGTGAAGGAGAGGGAGAGAGAGAGAGAGAGAGAGAGAGAGAGGGGAGAGGAGTATGCGGCACACCTGTGTGATGAAGAAACGAACGACAAAGTGCAAGTACGGTCTAGAGTCTAGACTCTTCGCGTGACGGTACCGGATCTGGCACAGGCTCCGCTGAGCTTGAAGTGACATCTGCGGCAAAAGTGAAAGGACACCCTGACACTCGCCTAAGGCTGAAGAGATGCTTCCAAAAACTAGCTGCGGAAAGGGTCGCATATTGAAGTGACTCGATTTCCTGGATCAGGCCTCACAGGAACTAGGCCGTTGGCATATGCTAAACTATCCAACCTCTCCAAGCACTAGCCTGGTCACATGCGTCAACTGATCTGCGTCACTTGGTCTTGGGAACAATCTGCACTCAGCCCATGGTGGCACCTCCTTGATTCGGCAACTTGGTCCAGCGTGCAATACCTGCCGATTCGGCTGCACGAATTTCGCCCACCTGCGAAGCCGGAGCTTGGCCAAGCATAGCACTGTTGTATCAACCCTTAAAGCATCACGGCATCAAGCTTGCAACTATCGGCCTTGAAGAAGTTGAACGAGTTGTCGCAGTTATCATCACAATAACAAACTTCGACCTTGCTCGCCATCGGCATCAAGCCCATCATGGCGGGGTCTGCCCAGAACTTGTAGTCCCGGCGGTCGCCTGCTGATGATATAGCTTTACGAAGACTTGAACGGTGCTAGGGCTGATGCTCAAGCTGTCCGACCGTTACACACAGCAAGCGATAAAGCAACTGCAACTCACGTCCCAGCTTAACCTCCTCGCAGGTGCGCATCACCGTTAATGAGAAGTCCAAACTCATCAAACTCCAAAGGCGGAAACCAACCAATATCGTCGGTCCTCAGTGCCAAACTACAGCTTTGCTTCATCGCCCAGGCTTGCAGGGTCGTATGACATCACGGGGATTAGGCTTGCACTGGAATCCTGTTTCACACGCCAGGCGACATGCTGCGCTCAATTTTGCAGCGGGACTGTGGCTCCCAGATAGCCCTTTCCGGGACCTCAATTCGTACGATGCCATCTGGACCTTCGCTCGACTCATGCTCCACATGACAGCAAAAGAAGAAATTCAATCTGCATGCTGCGCACCTGCAGGTGGAATTCCAGGAAGAAGCTTGATACGATTGTTATTGGCAGGCGCACAAGATGTGCCCCCCGGAGGACACTCGACTCGCAGGACGAAGGGCTGCTGAGGCAGAACGCGCATAAACGGTGGATTGCTCGATGAGCCACAGGAGGTGTAGGTGTCGACATCGCAGATACGAATCATCCAGTAATAAATAACACCAATTGGTTGAATAAACTCGCCCGCATCATCACAGGCACTTGTCGTGGGGTCAGGGCCATCATAGTTAGGACAATAACATGCAGTCAGGGTGAAGCTTCGAATCGCAAACTCGGGCTTCAAACCGGGCAACGTTGCGGCGGTGGAAGCGTCCGCGTTCAGGCCCGAGCCCGAAGGCGGCGCCCAGGAGAAGCTCTGAAAAATCTGGAGCTCCGGAACGATGCTTTGCCCGGTGATCACGTTGGAACACTCCCGGCGCGTTGCTGGGACAAACTCGCCAGCCACAAAAGTATCGTCACCCCAACTTTCGGACCAGGATATGCGGCTTACTCCAGCAAGCTGTACAGACCAGCCTTCCCGACCTCCACCGAAAAGTCGAAAGTCGATGCGGCAGGAACTGATATCCTCGCCTCCATAGAAAAGGTAACAATCCCAACGCTCCCTTGCGAGGCATCCGTCTGAGAGGCACTCGGAGATGACACCGACCACTGTAATTTGAACCGGAACGATGTTGTTCTTCCATTCGTCGCCATCGAAAGAGCCGTCAGGTGAATAGCATAACTCATACGTGCCACCATGCATGAATGTTAGGTGTGGCCACTGCACCTCTCGTAACAATGCCTTAGTCAACGTAACACGGATGTCGCTGCCGTGATGCCGAGGCCCTATGCACAGGTAGCATGACACTGTGCACACAAGGCGGTGCTACCGAGGTTCATTTGTGCCTGCATTTGGCACACTCAGCACAGATCCTGAAGACAAAGGCGATGGCCTCACGGGCTGCTGAGCCAACAGCAGATGCACTAAGCATGTTGCAAGTGCCACCCTCTTACCAGCAAGTTGGAGAGTAGGCCAAGCATTGGATTGTTGCTCGTTTGTCCTTGTGACCATGTTGTCTTGCCGGCAGGGATGCAATGGCAGAGAACCTCTGGGTGGACCAGGACCTGATCGAGGGGTCGCGACGTTGGCAAGTTGTCCGGAGTATCCATCAAAAAGTTTAATGTGCGTTGGCCCAGTTTTGGATGCTTGCTGGAGCCAGTCAAACTCTGGAGGGAATTGCGAGCTGCCGTGGGATGCCCTGACCTGGAGTCTCACTCTACCAGCAGTGCTCGAGGGTCTTTGCCCTAATCAGGTGCCCCACCGTTCGCTCAAGGGTTCCACCGAACACATCCTCGAACTGGCACGAATAAGAAACGATCAGGACTGGCTGCTGTCTTCCTGACTTTGTGGGAGAGCCTTCGATGGAAGCAGGCCGCCCAAACTCTCAACACAAAGCGAAGCTGCTGTGCAGCAGCGGTATTGCGATGTCCCCGTTAGCTGATTGCACCCGATCCCAAAACATCTTTGGATGCGTGTGGTGGAAACTTCGATTCTACAACAGCCTTTCAATGATGAAAAAGCTTTTCCTGGCATCGAAAACTGAGGTGATGGCCCCAGAGTCGACGCTACGGAGCTGTTCTGGGTCAGAGCCATAGGAACGTTGTAGTCAGCCCTTTCGCAAGACTCGCGGGTGGCGTCAGAATATACTAATTTGACAATCGCTTCCTGCAGCAGCGGAAAGCTTAGCAACTTGAAACCCTGCAGCTTCTGGGATGAAGCGGTGTGCTCAGTGTGCCTAGAAAGCAAGAATGCTGCGCTCCTGGTGATCAATACCGAATTCATAGTCAGAGGGAACCTCCACATGCACAGAGCTGTACTTGTAACCAGCCAGAACAGATATACCGACCTCGGGCAATGAAGTCTCCATGGGCGTCTACTTTGTGCAATGGGAAGCAGAAACCAGAAACTGACGAAGGCGTGGCAAGCTGCAGGAGATAAGGTGCCGCTTCCGAAGGCCTGTGGGAAAAGAACACTTTGAAAACCAAGACCTTAGCTGGACAAAAGCAGCCCTGCTGCCAGTCGCAGATAGAGATGCCGAGTGTCTGGTACCAACGGGGAATTCCCAATTCTCTTGCAGGGTGAGCTCACTGCTCTGCAGCTGACGGCTGTCACCGTAAACATAGTGCGTGCCTGCACCACACCGCGTGACAGCGTGTTGACTTCTCTAGGCTCGCCTTCCGCTCTTGAAACTTGAGAAAACAGATGAAAACAGACCCTGGCGTTGCAGCTTTTTTCACTGCGACATCTACCCCAGCTTACCGGACTATCAACAACTGCACCTGTCAGGTGCGGCAATCCGTAGAAGGCCTGCCATGGCGCGCATCCGGAGTGACATGCAGTTTGTGTAGTCGGTTTCAGCATCCCTAAATTTCGCTTTAGCAAGACACTCACCAACTTCTGCCAGACCGTGCCTGTGCAGCCCTGTGCCGATGGTCCTGTGGAGCAAAAGCGGAAGGAAGCAACTGTGTGACGGAAACACCGGCCTCGATGAAAGACATCTTGTCGGGCCTCTGCACGGTGCTGTGCTGCACACTGCTGCGCATTGTGCACATGATTGCATTCGCAAGATCTGACACTGTGCTACTCTGTGCTCAGTCCATGCCACTCATGTCCAGACTGCCCAGTCCACCTCGACGAGGAGTTGCCACTCTGCGCCGCGCGTGCCACATGCTGCGCGGCAATCCCACTCCACAAAGACCACAGCAGCGTGTGCCTCCAACAATCTGCTTCGGAAATCAACTGACGGCTTGACAATGCTTCGCACACATTGCTGCGCTCTTTTCAAGTAAGAAACCTGCGAGACATGTTGGGACACGGTACTGAGCCTAGGCATTTCACGGGGTATTCCACGGAAGTGCTGGTACTGCACAAACCAACGCAGCACTGCTAGGGTGTTTATACTTTGCGTTTTTGCATTTGCGACAACTGGTACTAGTCGCTGCTTTTGGCAAGTACAACAGGTACAAACCAATCCCTCCAAGCACAACAATCGGAAGTACGCTGAAATTGTGCTGTTTCTTGTGGCACAAGGGTTGCTCCACATGCTCCACCAATATGTTGGACGGCTACTGCAAGCAAATTGGCGCTGCAATCTCGCAACACATGCAATCCCGGCGCCGGCGACCAAAAAGTCCCCATCTAGCAAAGACAAGAAGAGCCAAGTAAACATGTGTCGCATTCACATCAGCATCGCAGGAGGAAGTGCAGCACTCACTCAGGAAGATGTATTGCAATGCATGTTTGTCGAAAATCTAAGCACGCCTCGGTTGGCTCAGCAGGACTCTTTCGGGGTCACAGGACTTGCACCGAACCCTCAAGCGCAACCTGTCGCGGTCCATATTCGCAAAAACGATAGCTTCTGTTACATAGACGTTCGACACTAGCGCTTACAAGTCACAGATGTCGTAGCATCGTTGAACACTGGCCCGTGATTGTCCAAACCAGCGAACACAGCTGTCTTTGCCCTCAACCAGTGCATTGCAAATCAATGACGAATTAAAAAAAATGATGCGTAATATGTGTAGTGACTCCCGCAACAGCTGCTAAATTCCGATAATCCGACCCATGCAAAAGACCATATGCCATGCATCCCTGAACTTGCCGAAAAAAGCACGGAAGGGTGTATCACTACTATCTACTACTGCTATAGGTTCAGTAATGTGTCTGATTGTGTAAATTTCATCAGCGCCTCCAGACCATGCGAAGCAAAGTCCATGGCATCCGCCGGGGGTGCTGGGAGATGTGAACTGCGTATGATTTCTCAACAACTTCTGGTAAATCCTCTTGGTTTGTACAGTTGATGCTGTTCCGCACTAGTTTGAGGCAGCGACCAGGTATGCCAAATAAGTCTTGCAGTGTCGGAAGCATGTCATCGCTCTAACTTGGTCCCTTGAATTTATAGCTTCTGCAAACGCTGCAGCGGCAAGAAATGGAAGGAACAGCAGGTCAGACCCAAAAGTTGCCACTGACTTGACACGACAAGCGACACAATCCGCAAGTCCCCCGACATCGAGTGGTGGGTCACTGTCAGTAATTGCACAAGCATGCCTATGCCTATGCTTGGAGTCCCGGCAGCGTAGTAACAGCGGTCCACGCGATTTTGAGCCTGCGATGACTCGGCCTTAAACCCTAAACCCCAATCAATGAAGCAGAACCCTAAACTCTCAGGATCACGGCAGTGATTTACAGGTTGGGTCGGGGCTCGTAAGCCTTGAATTTGCACGGGGTTGCTTGCGCTCGGGTCCCCGAAGGGCGAGGGAAAAAACACCCGTAGGTGAGAGCATGCAGTTGTTGGGGTCCGAGCTGTGCTACCTTTGTCGAAGTTGTCACTGGTAGCGCGACTGGTCCAAGACTGTAGATGCACCATAGGCTCAAGCTAGCGGTACTCCCTTGTTAAGGCAGCATGCATCATTGTGCGGTATGTGTGTTTGTCGGCCGAAGCGCGTTTCAGGTCTGCAGATTCGTGTCCGGGGGGTTGATGCGTTTCAGCTTGGAGCGTTTCGGACACGCTGGGGTGTGTTTCAGGTCCGGTTCGGGCATGTATGCTCTGGTAATCGGATTAGGTCGGCATGGACGTTAGTACGGTTCGGGCATGGATGCTTGGGTACTCGGCCCTGATCCCACAAAACCCCAAAACCCTGAGATCGCTGATGCCCAAAAACCCTCAACCATAAACCATAAAAACCCTAAACCCTGAGCCCCACACGAAAAACGAACCCTAAAGCCTCAACCCCTAGATCCTGCAAAACCGTATGCGTACCCACAACCCTGAGATCGCAAAAGTCCGCTAAAGCCGACAAAAAAAACCCTGAACCCTGAGCCCCGAACCCAAACCCTAAACCCCAAACCCCAAAGCCTAAACCGTAAGCCCCAAACCCTACAGCCCTAATCCAACCCTAAAACGCTCACCCTAAAGCCTAAACCCAAACCTTACACCCCAAACCCGAACCACAAAGCCCTGATGCCCAAAAACCCTCAACCCTAAACCCCAAGCCCCAAAGCCCAAATCTCAAACCCCAACACCCTAAAGCCCTAATCCAACCCTAAACCCTGAGATCGCTAATGGCCGCTAATGCCCCAAAACCCACAACCCTAATCCCACAAACCCTCAAACCTTGAGATCGCTAATGCCCAAAAAAAACCCCTCAACCCAAACCCCCAAACCCTAAACCCTGAGCCCCGAACCGAAACCCTAAACCCCAAGCCCAACAGCCAAAATCCTAAACCGTAAACCCTAAAGCCCTAACCCAGCCCTAAACCCTAAGATCGCCAATGCCCCAGAACCCACAATCCTAATCCCACACAAAAACAAATCCTAAAAGACTTAACCCCACAAAATAAAGACCCTAAACCCTCAACCCCAAACCCTAAACCCTGAGATCGCTGATGCCCAAAAACCTCCAACCAAAACCCAAAAGCCTAAACCCTGAGCCCCGAACTGAAACCCTAAACCCCAAGCCCGCAATCCCAAATCCTAAACGCAAACCCTAAAGCCCTCATCCCGTCCTAAACCCTAAGATCGCTAATGCCCCACAACCCACGATCCTAATTAATCCCACACAAAAACAAAAACAACCCCTAAAATCCTTGAAAGCCCCAATCCCACAAACAACCAGCCCTGAACCCTCAACCCCAAAACCCTTAACCTTGAGATTGCTGATGCCCAAAAACCCTCAACCCGGACTCAAAACCCTGAACTCTGAGCCCCGAACCCAAACGCTGAACCCAAGCCCAAAAGCCCAACTCCTAAACAGTGAACCCTAAGCCCTAATCCAGCCCTAAACCCTAAGATCGCTGATGCTCAAGCGCCCAAAACCCCAAACCTTTCACCCGTCAGAAATTCAACGCGTTGCAAAGACAAATTCTGTGTCTGCGTCTGTCTGTGTCTGTGTCTGCCTCTGTCTCTGTCTCAGTGTCTGTCTCTGTGTATGTGTCTGTCTCTGTCTCTGTGTCTGTCTCTGTCTGTGTCTGTGAGTCTGTGAGTCTGTGAGTCTGTGAGTCTGTGAGTCTGTGAGTCTGTGTGTCTGTGTGTCTGTGTGTCTGTGTGTCTGTGTGTCTGTGTGTCTGTGTGTCTGTGTGTCTGTGTCTGTGTGTCCGTGTGTCCGTGTGTCTGTGTGTCTGTGTGTCTGTGTGTCTGTGTGTCTGTGTGTCTGTGTGTCTGTGTGTCTGTGTGTCTGTGTGTGTGTGTGTGTCTGTGTGTGTCTGTGTGTCTGTGTGTGTGTCTGTGTGTGTGTGTCTGTGTGTGTCTGCGTGAGTCTGCGCGTGTCTGCGTGTGTCTGCGTGTGTCTGCGTGTGTCTGCATGTGTCTGCGTGTGTCTGCGTGTGTCTGCGTGAGCCAGACAAGTAAAGTTCAACGTGAAGGAGACTACGTAGAGCGAGTGCCCCCCTTTCCTGCTTTGTGTCCCTTTCTGTTGAAGGGAGAGTCGTTACTGTAAACCGACCTACCTGCCTAACCCTGCCTGACACCGAACTGAAGCCTGATCCTGTCTCTCTCTCTCTCTCTCTGTCTGTCTCTCTGTCTGTCTGTCTGTCTGTGTGTCGGTCGCGTAGGCTGGCTGCTGATGTCCCCCGCTCACCGGTCCGAGGCGCTGGAAGGACGTCGCTTGAGGGCATGCTTCGTCGTCATATCTCCCACATCTTGTCCTGGCACCTCCTCGTCTGGCATCTGCTGAACTCGTCCTCGCCTCCCTTACTAGTCACCACCGGGGACCACAGTGTGATCCAAGGCATAGTCTCGGCGGTGCTGTCGGTCTACCACCAACTCCTGCCCCCATATGGCTCGGGTCCGGCCGCGATGCGGACTTGAACCGGGACGAGTGTTGGCATCAGTGGGCCTGCGAGCTGTTGTGCTTTAAGCACCTGGTGAGGCGTCACTTCAGCCTGGAACGGGGAGCTCTGGTGTGGCCCGACATGCTGAAGCCGAGTACCCACGTCTTCTGAATAACCGGAAATGGGACATGGCCAATGACCAGCCGGCTTGCCTTGTAAACGGTGGAGAACTGACCTGCATTGGCAGCTCGATTCGATTCCGTGTAAGCCCGAAAACACCGCAGCACAGAACTGCGGCAGTATGCTTTTCCAGGCAAGCACGAGCAAGAACGCTCTGGATCAAACCATGCTCGAGCGATACGAGGAGTGACGCGTTAAAAGACATGCATGAGGTACTTTTTATCTGCAGACATGCGCTTTTCCGTGAGGCCCACTGGGCCTTTGCCGATCAGCTGAATCTCCGAGAACTCGCGTCTCAAGCGGCCTCACAACGGTGCTCAACGGCCCACTATGTCCGATGTCCACTCCAGTCCACCGGCCTTCGTTCATGTCGGGCCTTGGATGAGCAGGACCTAAACGTTTCAAAGGCCTTGGGCTGAAAGCTTCCCAGCTGCTCTTCCTCTGGCGACCGGCGCCACTCCGAGCGACTGGGGGGAGAGGTTGGTCGCATGCGAAAAGCTGGCCTTGGCAAATGACCATTCCACGCTGCACCCACCAGCGGATCGGAATGTCATGCTCGCTTTGAGGTCTCAGCGTTCGAGGTGAGTTCGGTGCTTGGCGCAACTCCTGCACGGACATGTGGCATGCGTGCCCTCGGGTCAGCGCTGACATCTCCATGACAAGATGAGACATCTTTCTGACCCTACCGGAATCAGACGGAAATCTGTGTCTAGCCGCTGACCAGGTTCCTGCAGAGAGACTTCGAAAGAAACCTCTGCATGATATTCTCCAGCGTGCACGGAATAACATCGTTCCATGGTTTATATTTGTTCGCCAGCACTATGAATGAACTCCTGGACTGAACATGAGTTGGCCTGTGATGTCACCAGCGTCCACGACCTAACAGCATGATCGCAAAAGATCTGGTTATCTCATATGTTGACAATGTGGACTACATGCCCAACATTTTGACATGCAAGTACAGAAGACTGATTAGTACCCAAGACATCCCAAGACCAACCTAGGCAACGACGCTGGGTCGAAGACGGTCGAGAATGTTGAGGGTGCGTGGCAAGCACATTATATACGGAGCGCACAACTGATCCAAAAACGGTATCTTCCCTCCAGCATCAGTGGCACTCGAAGGGCGCGGGCCAACAAGAACTACAGTGGCCAAAAATTGAAAAAGACGATATGGACCGCCTGCGGTGACGTCGCTGCATGTCCATCCTGATACTCTTGGACGTGATCTTTGTTGAACGATGTGATGCTGCTTCCTGGACGATATCTCGATTTTGCTTCGATCGACCCACCCGACTGGATACATTAATACATTCATCGACCTAACGACAAGAGATTTGATCATTAACTACGTCGAACTGAAATTATGCATGCACACTGCAAGCTTCTGCATGATCCAATGAGGTCCCAGCACCCGCTCCACAAGACTCCTCAAGTTCCAACTGCAGCATCATATCAAAAGCTGCGAAAGACTGGCCAGAAAAGCATGCTGAAGCGATGCGTTGCTATGTTAAGGCTTGTGGTCTCCTTGTTTGCGGCTGGCCTCGAGGCGATCTTCGGGCTTTGCACGGCCTTCACTGAGATGCAAACAAACTTTCCACGCAGGATTCCCTCGGTCCCCACCTGGCCGGAGTGGCGATGCTCTGTGGTTGATCTGCCGTGTCCGACTGGTGGAGCAGAAGCCAGGACATCCAAGAGCAGGCTGCTAGCCGCTAGATTCCGCTAGATCCACAGACCGGCCTGGTCGGCCAAGTTGGGCATCCGAGGTACACGCAGTGGTGTCCGTTCCGGAGACACGCTCATCTGGGCCAGAACGCATAACAGAATTCAGCGGCGAAACAGTGCAAAAACCGTGGTGAATCAAAAGCGACGGCGAATGCCTTTTCAACAAAGCCCTCACCTCCTGGTCAACATCCGAAGGATCACCTGCCGCATGTGGGTCACGCACCACTGCGACAACAACTACAACATTACAACTACTCTGCCACTCACCACCACCACCACCACCACCACCACGGCTGCTGCTGCTGCTACTTCTACTACTGCTACTACTGCTGGCTCTACTGCTACTACTACTAATAATAATAATGAAATTAACAAAGCTACTGCTACCGCTACCGCTACTGCTACTGCTGCTACTGCTACTCCTACTACTACGACTACTATACGACTACTACTACTACTACTACTACTACGACTACTACGACTACTTCGACTACTTCGACTACTACTACGACTACTACAGAAACTACTACTACGACTACTACAGAAACTACTACTACGGCTGCTACCACTACTACTGCTTCTTCTACTGCCACCCCTACTACCAAACTACTACCATGAATACTATAATGGTAGCACGAGTATTGTTACAAGCACTACTATTGTGACCGCCAATGTGATCAGTCCTGGTACTGCAACTTTCATCATCTGAATAATACCAGTACTAGCAAGAGTACGAGTATGAGTATTGCACTAGCATCGGTTATATTCGCATTCGAGATAGTCTTAGTCATAGCAATATTGGCATGAGTATCAGTATGAGTACAGGTATGAGCATTAGCACTACCATCAGCATCAGTCTGGTTCTTAGTAGTGTAGCAGTGATAGTGTTAGTAGCAGTGGCTGTGGTCGCAGCAGTAGTAGTATTTATATTGGTAGTAGTGGCAGTAGTACTAGTACCAATAGTAATCGTAATTAGTAGTGGTAGTGGTCGTTTTGTTTTAACCGCAGCAAGGGAGCCCGGGCGTTCACAGGAAACAGGTCAATGACTCCGTCACCGGCTGCACTGAGGCAGCACGCAACTTCTGTGCGTACTAGGGCTCACTTCGCCACTGGCGTCGAGGCGCATAGCAAAGGGTGCAACGAGCGCATTCGTAGTCGAGCCAAAGCCGGGCGTAGGGCGAGCGATCAGTCTTCCATAAGGTTGAGCACGAATCCCATGCCCCGCAGCTTATGACGTTGCGAGTCCGATAGTCTTTGCAGTTGCCGCGGTGTGGAGCCAATGAGGATGGCACGGTCGCCTCCTGACCACGGGACTGTGGCGTGCGGCTGGTGTGGCGGAAACAGTACGAAAGGCAAACCAACTCGAACCATAGTGCCAGGGCCAGAGTGACTATCCAGGACATGTACTCCACCCTCGCTCTTCACCCAAAGGCAGCCGCCCATCCAGCGCGAGCATGGAACAATGATGTTGTCGGTGCCAGGTTCATTGCCCGCATCGCGATGCATCTGAATCTGCACGTTCCGTTGTACCGTGACAGTGGCAAAGATAGCTTTAGGGCACATACCCCCAAGGATAGAGGTGAGCAGTTGCGTCACTCTCGGGTAGAGCACCGTATTGATTTGCACGCCAGTGGAGTGCGCGAAAGTGAAGGCGCCGACTCGGCCCCGACCGAAAAACACTTCTGGCATGGCTGCTGCTCACAAAGTTGGTCTCTGCGCTTGGCTGCAGCCTTGACCGGCAGAAGATTCATCACTCGTGCATGTCCGCAAAGGTAACTCTGCTCTGCAAGAAAAGTGCCGAAGCCAGTCGTTCCGCATCCGGGTCACCGGGCCTCAAAGCTTCCAGCGGCAGCAGATCCGTGGTGTCCAGTTGCAGCCACGCCTGAGGGTCCGTCACATTTTGTTCCTCAAACAGCGTATCTGCTGAAATAGTGGTCGTGGTAGTGGTAGTGGTAATGGTAGCAGTAATAGTAGCAGCAGTAGTAGTAGTAGTAGTGGTGGTGGTGGTAGTAGTAGCAGTAGCAGTAGCAGTAGCAGTAGCAGTAGCAGTAGTAGTAGTAGTAGTAGTAGTAGTAGTAGCAGCAGTAGTGGTACGTCATAGTAGTGTTTTTTGGTAATAGTAGGAGTAGTAGGAGTAGTAGGAGGAGTAGTAGTAGTAGCAGTAGTAGTAGTAGTAGTAGCAATAATGGTGCTAGTACGAGCAATAGTAGTTGTAGTAGCAGTAGCAGTAGCAGTAGCAGTAGCAGTAGCAGTAGCAGTAGCAGCAGCAGTAGCAGTAGCAGTAGCAGTAGCAGTAGCAGTAGCAGTAGCAGTAGCAGTAGCAGTAGCAGTAGGAGTAGGAGTAGGAGTAGGAGTAGGAGTAGGAGTAGGAGTAGGAGTAGGAGTAGGAGTAGGAGTAGGAGTAGGAGTAGGAGTAGGAGTAGCAGTAGGAGTAGAGGCAGTAGTAGTGGTAGTAGGAGTAGTAATAGTAGCAGCAGCAACTCGTACTAGTTTTGGTACTCCTGCCACTACTAGTACTTGCTACTAGCTTAGTAGTTTCTAGTAGTAGTAGCCGTAGTCGTAGCAATAATAACAATACTTCGCCTGGGCCGTGGCCGAAGCAGTCAGAGGTGCGCACGGGGATTCCCTGTTTCCCGGCCTGTCAACCCCACCCCAGTAACATCAAACAGGAAGACGATGACAAAGCCTATTCTGGGGCTGTGTCTTGTACTTCGTTGCAAAGCTCGCTTCTCTATTGCCTTCCAACATCCGATTTTTATAGTAGTGTCTATAGGATAATGCAGGCAACGTGCCACCTTTCGCGCGGAATTGTTGCTCAGAGCCTCAGCATGAGAACAAACACGACATCAAACCACACATTGAAGCAAATTGCTCTCCGAGACAATCCAATGCTCACTCACACTCAACCCGCCCACCCTTCCCAAATGTTTAACATCGCAACACGGATGCCGGAAGGAGGTTGGACATCTGAAGTCCAACCGTGAGGGCCCCGCCTCGCTTGTTGAGGATCTCTGGGGAGCCACAGGCAAACCCCGGACCTGCCAGCAGGGTGGACATCAAGTCCTTCTCCCCTATAAAATGGGGCTGGGCGGGTGGGATCAAATCTTGATTGGCACATCCTTGTGCCAAAATGGCCACGCGAAGTGGCTTCACTCCCGCCCTCTCCAACCCCTGAGGTTAAAGAGCATCTACTTGTCAATACGGCACTTCGTGCCTCCCAGACAATCCAATGCTCATTCACACTCAACCCGCCCACCCTTCCCAAATCTTAAACATCGCAACACGGATGCCGGAGGGAGGTTGGACATCTGAAGTCCAACCGTGAGGGCCCCGCCTCGCTTGTTGAGGATCTCTGGGGAGCCACAGGCAAACCCCGGACCTGCCATACAAGCAGGGTGGACATCAAGTCCTTCTCCCTTCATTCCGGAGAAGGCGGCAAGCGAGTGCAAGGGCAAACGTTGAAAGCTTTGCTCACTCGTGCTGTTCGCTGGCTTGCGCGCATCCTGCGGCCCGACACATTTTTGCGTCAGGAGGCAAACTACGAAGCAGTGTGACATCAAATCGGCCCCTAAAATCAAGACCGCAAAAGGTATCAGAATCGTTCCGAACTTTGTGGACAATACCGCTTGCCCAGTTCATGAGGCACTGAGGCATGAATCTCCTCTGAAGCTCTGAGGCCCAAACATCCTTAGCCTGGTCCTGACAGGCGCGGAGTTCTCGCACTAGCTCCCAAATGTCGTCTTCCTTCTTTTCAAGGGTGCCTAACAACTGGGTCACACAGTTCCAAAGCCTCCCAAACCTTGGCTTTCAATTCTTCTTGAACCTGAGGCTCTGCGGTGGCATCAGGAAGCAGACGCCGCAAAGCTTGGGCCTGAAGCTCTTCAACCGTCACGTTCTGAAGGCAGGACGGAAGCCAGTTCTCAGAGTTCTCAAGCGGCGCGTCTCTCAAATACTTCAAGATCGTATCGGATCCCCATCTACAAAAGTGCTGAATGCGATAGTATTCCAAGCCTTGCCTGGCCATAAACTGTGCCCCGCTAGGGCGCAGCACATGGCCGGTCAAGCTGTCCACGTCGTCTGCACTCCAGCCCAGGGCTCGGGCAACAGACCGAAACATTTCGATCATTGCAGACTTCGTTGGTGCGACACCCACCTGCTCAGTGGCCAAGAAAGGCGCGTCGGGGGCAGCGCCACGACTGCCCGCCTCTTCGTAAATGACCTTAGCAGCACGAACTGGGCCCTGGGCAGAGTCCCGGGGCAGAATGGCATCACTCCCTGTCCTTTGGGGTCAACCTTGCTGGCAGGTAGGCTCAAGACGACTACTCCGCAGGTCAACCTCTTCTCTTCACAGGTGACCTGTGCTCTCGTTCGCAAGGATGCCTCAATCTCGCGGCAAGCGAAAAGGCTGAACAGAATCACTGTCTCTTTCGAGAAACGCGGCAACCCGTCCTGGGTAGGAGGAGGCTCAAGCTGAGCCACCTTGTCTAAATCGAAGGCCTTGCACTGCTTATCAGGCCCCAGTCCCCTGTCACAGCTCCTCAGTGCGTCTTTGACAGCTAGCTGTAGCTTATCTGTCCAAGGGAAGTCAAGCTCAATATGCCTTCGTGTCATGGCGGAGAAATAGGCTCCAGCAGAGCGGTAACCTCCTGCTTTGAGCAAACTGCCGGCGTGGCTGATCTTATCTGCGTCGAGAGGATATGGTGAGATCTGAGCAGCCTCAGCCCTCCTCTTCCACCAGGCTTGTCTCGAAGCAGCAGTGCCTACGTTAGAAGCCGCGAACTTGTCAACTTCGAACTCTTGCACTGCTTGACACGTGGGACGGCGAGAGGGCGGGAGAAAAGGAGCTCACAGCATTGTGACAAGCATGAAAAACAATGCATGATTCATGAAAGGGGCCATCGTCGCAGTGAGGGCAAAAGGTGAAAGCACTATCGATGTTGTGTTCGCAAAGAGCACAGACTCTGCTCAAATTTCCACGGCCCATGCCTGCATCCACCAAACTTTGCGCGGCAGACTGTTTAGGAAGGCCACGTTCAAATGTAGGACTTCTAGAAGGCTGTGAAGTCTTCAGGCCGCTCCAGACGGAACCCTGTCCTGGCCATGCTGCGTCGGTATGTGGTCGCTTCATTGAGCCACTAACCAGGATGAGCGGAGAAGTGCAAAACGAAACACGAAGTTAAGGCAAACCCTTGCAGATAAAC